CTGAAACACAGAGACAGAGTCTCTAAACAAGGTGCTGCTAACACTCATCACCAGAGGAGGTACAAAGGGGCCAAATGGCATTTACTCTGCAGCACTTCCACTATCTGAAGTGTATTCAAACCTGGCACACTCCTCCAGTTCTTCCAGTCAGCAACTCAAGGTCACAGGAGTAATTTCATTCTCTTAATAAAAGTAGACACTCTTATGAAAAACAAATTTGCAGCTCATTTAACTGGAAACAACATGTCAAAGTTGTGAAACCTTAATACACACAGAGAAGGCTAGAAACAGTTTAAACCCACAATAAACTTAAACAGACTTTGTCTTTAAGGTGCTATAGAAAACCATTGTTAATAGTGACACCTGTGGCCGTTAATTGAACTGCAGTCAGCGTCCTGTTAAGCAGTCCTTGGCCAGATATTGAACGCTGGAAAATAAATTACAATCATATTTAGAATAATATTAGTATCTGCAATGTCGATACTTTATACGGACCATTAAGCTAAGCAGTTGCCATTTACAAATCACCCCATCAGCACCGACACCACAGAGCAACCACTGCCAGACCCACACCGTGCAGCCAAGCCACAACCAGCCGGCAAACCCCAACTGAGCTCAGGAGAATTTACAGTCAGTTGGATGTCCCTGCCTCGCATCGCACATCGAGTAGAAAGCGTTTGCTCTGTACCATTTATTGTTGGCTGAAATCAACACTATTTCTCATTAGTTAGTATCATGGATCACATTAGCTGGGGAGTTATTCTGTGTGTTGTGTTGGCTGCTCATTTGTAGACGCTGGCGGACTCCATTTACAGGCTAACGTTACCTAGTGTTACAAAGTGTCGACACTGTAGCCAAGCGGAGGGTCAAATAATATGTATAATGCTTCAGAATCTTACATATTGAACCTTTAATAATAGACACGTTTACAAAAGTATAATTTCCAGAGTGGAGAAATGTCTTAGGGCGTTGTACCGCAAAAGAGTATCGACTATTACTCACAGTTTCCAACTTGATCTTGTGGATAAATGTGTAATTGAACAACACTGTTTAAACCTTGTGGGGGGGGGGAAACTGAATCATGGGGTTTAATTACAAAATGTTATATGAACCTGTCTGTATTGGATACAGATCTGAGATTCACCAGGGGAGTATAAATGATTCAGTCTTTAAAATGGAACTAAATAATAAATATCTTCAGCTGAGTCATAACTTCAGTACCAACTTTCGCTCCAGCTGTCAATATTGCAGTGGGTGTCTCTTTATTTTTAGTGGCTATCCAAAATTAAATTTAGCAACAACATTTCTTCACTGTGAATGGTGGAATGATGGAAATTAAAACAAATATGGGAGTAAGTTTCCTATTTGGTATTAATAAAAAGAAAATCTGATATTTCATAATGTTTTAAACCTGTGGCAGGATATAACAAAGATGCTTAAAAACACCACTATGCTGCATTTAAAGTTAAATTTACCATCTAGGCTGCTCAGACAGGCCAAAGAAAATGTGCTGCTTGGTTTCGCCCACATTAAATATGTGAGAACTGGTTATTTCGCCATCAGCCATAAACTCACTGTTTATAAATGGACAAGAGACGCAACCTGTGAGACAAAATACCCACTGGTCCACTGTGGAGAGGATGACAGCAGGGTTCACATAAATTGGAACTCAGGCGATTTGATCAAAACGCTACTTGACAGGGAATTATTAATTCACTAATACCGGGCTCAGGCCTAGTGATTCTGATCCATGCCATTTTAATCTAACTTTCCAAGTTAATTAGATGAATATAAATTTTCTCTGTATGATCCAGTCTTACATTACACAGGGGAAAGCTTCTGTTCCAACGTTTGTACATCTGCAGTCATCGGGGAACTCTGAACTCAATACTGGTGACCTATCCAATTATTCCAGCCCATTTGATTAATTTAAATGCATTTTCTATTGTACCAACAGTAGTTAATATAATGGAACTGGTGTCGCAGTCTGAACTGTAGCCGCTCAGGAACAGAGGAATATGTTTTATATATATACATATATAATGTTTTGCCTTTTTGCATTTTTGTAGTACTCTCTCGAATGATATACAGAGCACACGGTACATATCAACAATGTATATACACATATGAGTCACGTATGAATACTGTATTACCGTTACACCACAGATCCATCCTATGCGCTTTCATCGCCCCCATTCACTTCTATTGAAACCTATTTCAGTGGACAAATTCAAGTACATGTTTCCTGTTTCGGTGCAACCTTCAGTCAAGTTCTTATTTGTTCAACTTTGCCTGAGTGGATGTGTTCAGTCAGCCAATAGCATTGTGCATTGTGGTTAGAAATGTTGTTATTCTAGTGTTTTTCCTCATTATTTTTAGCACATCATCACTCCACCAGTCTATGAGCTGTAGCGTCGCAGTCATACACTGTTTGTGATCCATCACAATGTTTATTTATTACCCGCATCGGAGCCGTGACATGACATCCTCTTTCGGGGCTGAGTGTGGGGAAATTTGTTGAGTGGAAATATAATGTGACCAGACAAACAGGCTGCAATACACAGTGATAGAAGAGCTTTTTAAATTTGTTATCACTATATTTTCCAACAATGTTACCGTAATAATAATAATTTATTTACAGGTAATTTGGATTTCATTGATTTTTAAATGAATCATTTATTTATCACTAAAATCCTGAAAGCCAGAACATGAGGAGGGACACGACATCGGGTTAGATGCAAAAAAATACAATATTTCTTTATAAAAAAGACACAAAGGACCAAATAAGAAAGCAAAGGAAAATCTGGGTCTTGTGTGAGGCCGTGAGAGAGAGTGTGTGGGCACTTACACAAAGCCTGCATCTTCACAGTCAATCAGTCATCAGTAAGCTGCACATACAACACAAAGACGTATAATGGACACTCAGACAATAATAACATGATACAGAATAGTACTTTAATGTTTCAGTTCAAGCCATATGTAATTGCATTAACTGATTTTTCTTTTTATGGCATTTGTACTTTTTAAGTACAATATTAACTAAGACTTTGATACATAAAGTTTTATAACTAGGTTATGGAACAACGACCACGCTTCACATTCATTTCATTTCCACTCAAAATATACTTAAGCACACCTTATCTGTTCTCTTCCCCCCCAAACCCTTTCTTTTTCTCCCCCTTCTCTCTCTTATTCAGATACAGGAACCACTGGGGCTCTAAAGAAAAATAGATAAGAAGAGACGGTTCCACCACTCAGAGTCTCATCACCCACTTCCCTCCCACCATCTCGCCCAAACTTCTCCGTCTATCCATTCATCCATCCGTTCACAAACCTGACTTCTCCTCCATCCGTTCATCCCTCACCCTTCCTACCCAAACCCCTTCATCCCTCATCCCTTCATCCCTCAACACTTTACCCATTCATTCATCCCTCCTACAGTTTATCACATTGGTTCACATTCATCCATCATGTGCAATAAACCGTTCTAATTCCATACGTGTGTTGGTGTGGTCTTTGTTAGTGAACTAATCTTGTAGTGCTGGTCCCGTAGACATAGGGTAAAAAAATATATATATATATACCTAAATAAAGTTGAGTTTTAGTTAGAGTTTTTCTTCCAGCATTGGATTACTGGTTGGTTATGAAGCTGACAATGTATAGTTGGATTACTGAAGCAGAGAACGGCTGTGCTTACAATAATTTTTTTAAATGCTGTAATTTAGAGATCACAAGTTAATTTATCTCACAAAACAAAAGGTCTATTTCTCGAAGAACAAGATCATTTATCACAAGAAAACAACTTTTGTTTTTTCGAGGTTGCAGGATAATAATACAGAACTCGAAAATGAGTGTCTGGGTTATTTGATCACAACGGATTTCAGCCTTCAAGATCACTATCATAGCTGTCAGGGAGGATTCATAACTGAACTTTAAAAGAGTTGCTACCAGAACTGAGATTTAATTTGAGCAGTTCATTTCATGGTGCTACAATACTGACAAACATATCAGGATAAAAAGTAAGATTTATTGCAGTAAATAAGCTCAAAGTTCCTTGCACTGCCCAGATTCTTTTGATGCACTTTTTCCTGACTGCTGCCTCACTTCAGTCAGTAAAATGAATATTAACTGGCACGCTGCACGTTATTCCCCCATGCATTATCCATTATGTTGAACCAGTACTAATCCGCCATTGATGCGTGCTGGCATGGCACTCGATGCATTCTGGCATGGTGCTCCTGATCTCTAATAAAGCTTAGAAGTAACAAGAGGAAATGACCTTTTGTTTTCTTGTGATAACCGGTTGATTATCTTGTTATCTCAGGATAACAACGCTTGTTTTCTCGAGATAACAAAATAATTAAACCGTGCTCTTGAGATAAAGGAAATTAAAAAAATAAAATTTGATTGCAGGCACGGCTGTTCTCAGTTTCCGGACACTGGGGGCCTGACAACAAATATTTTCTCTAGGGCCTCAGAAGGTTAAATCCGGCCCTGCTGGAATGACAAGAGGAAAGTTAAAGAAGCAGCACATAGTCAATTAAATACTTTAGAACTGCAGTCAGTAAATGTACTCTTTCTCCATCAATGTCAGTACAGAACATACACAATGTATTTTGTGTATGTTCTGTACTTGTGTATGTATGTTTTATGTGTATTTCTGCAGTACATATGGGTAGTCAATATGACCATGTTTTACTACAATACAGAGACACATGTTTATTTGTCTTTCCTGACATATTGATAACCTGTATCATTAAATCTTTTGCATTAAGAGCACTATTGGTACTGTAGCCAGATAGAGAAAAAAAAGCCAGATTGGTCCTAAAATCGTTGTTGTTGTCAAAAAACGATGGCTTTTTGAGTCCCACAATCAATCGGAGGAGAGAGAGAGAGAGAGAGAGAGAGAGAGAGAGAGAGAGAGAGAGAGAATCCCAGTTATCCATATATTTTTTTGAGAGGAGGCAAGCATCGGTTCTTTCGGGTTGTAAAGAGAAACATAAAGTCAGAGAGAAGCCTGCAGCGTGAAGTCACTTTTTGATTGATTACAGGGTTTAAGAAGTGACATAGGTGCTGTGCTTATGTGTGTGTCCGTGTGTGTGTGTGTGTGTGTGTGTGTGTGTGTGTGTGGCAGCAGCTGCTCCCTCCCTGACTTTATTCCTCGCTCATATTCAGTCCTGCAGTGGCGGATGGGTTCGGTGCTCCCGCCGGCAGGAGCGCAGACATCTGAGGAGCCTGTTAGTGTCAAAGAAAAACTGACGGAAAACACAAAGAGCTTCTCCCAACAACAAATCCCTCTGTAGCGTTGGGACTCAAAGGCGGATTATAAAGCGTATTTACCGGCTGGAAGCGATTCCGGGGCAACTTTGCCACTGTCTCCGTTTATTTTCCTTTCCCATTCTTCTTTTGGTGCAGATCTTCAGTCAGCACCTTGCTGCCTCTTTAACATCTTCAGGCTCTCGGCATCAGACAGGATCCGCACACGGTCAGTGAAGAATAACTCTAATTTGGCTAATTTCAGAGATCATTTTTATTTTTATTTTTATTTTTATTTTCTTTACTCGCAGCTTCTCCTCTTCGAATTTTACCCATTTAGGATTAAAATATATGCTTTGTAGGGGTAGATTTTTAAGTTTATATATTGCAACTTCCATCCCTTTTTAATAAATAAATAAATAAATAAATAAATAAATTGATGTTGACTGTGACTGGTGCGACTCCCTTTGTTCATTAATGGAAAAAAATTATCTACAAAATGAGTATTAAATGTCCAGAGTGACAGTGTGCCATCTTTATGAAATGAATAATTTATATTCAGGGTATACTGCAAATATTTTACTTTAGCATGTCATGCATGTAACTACATTAATTAAAATAACAGTAAATATAAAATATTCTCCTCACTGTGTTCTTTACTGAATGTTTCTAAGACCTAACTGGGAGCAGCTCCAAAGGAGAGGAGATGTTAAAAGCTTTTTAGTGTTTCTCTCTCCAGGAATGTGTTATTTGCTGTTGTTTGGTTTGCTACAGAGCTGTTAATACAGCTGCAGGTGGGAGCAGACTGTGATATTTGTGCTGTTTCTCTAAACAGATCTGATTGCATCCCTGTGATGGACTAAAGGTGTGAGGAGGAAGAAAGATTGAAGAGGAGGGAGGTCTGCATGAGGTTTGCTTAGCTTGAAGGTGAGAAAGTCTATTAACAGCTGGTGGTGGATTATCAGGTTCAGGCAGCCACTCCCTGGAGGAATGAATGTACATATGTTACATAAAAACTGCACTGGGACCAGCGCTGAACAGCATCATGACTCCAGCTGACTCATAGGATGTGGTTTTAGGATGGGGGACCATGATTTACATTTGTCTACAAAGATTTTTATCCACACAGAACAGGAGGAGCTGCAGAGACTGGAACCTGACGTGAGGGTTTTGGTAAGGATTTCCCGCCTTCTTGGAATCTGATTTTGGTGTTTTGCTTTTCCTCGGTCCTGTCTGTGAATGGATCTTAATGAGGACCAAGGGAAACCAGTACAGTAAGCCTTACCGTTGAGAGATTTTTATACCTCTATACTGCCTCTCTTCCTGTGGTTTTGTTCCTGCCGGGAAAGCAGCATGGATCTGTCCCAGGACCAGCCTTCGGACTGGAGCTCAGTCCAACCCAGCTTCTCTCCACTGCTGCAATACGATGGCTCTCAGGAAAGACTCAACCACAACCACACTTCTATTGTGTTGTCCTCCACTTTTAGCTTACCCACTGCCTCCCTCCATCAACCTCTACCCTCTCTGCTGCCCTCCTCCCACATCTCCTCTCCTTTATTCTCCACCTCCTCGACCTCATCCTTTCCGCAAGCATCCACTTTTGTCTACCAACCCTCGTCCTCCAACTTTCCTTTGTCCCTGCCCACCTTTTCTGCTAATGACCTGGCAGACCTGGAGAGCATGCTGCTCTGGACCCTCCAAGAGCCCAGCACAATCGCTCTGACCATCATGTACTGTCTGTCTTTCATTTTGGGATTTGTTGGGAATTTAATGTCCCTGCGCGTCCTCACCAACAGGCGGAGCCGGCGTCTAGCTGGCGTCAGCGCCACGCGCAGTCTCCTGGTGAACTTGGCGGTATGTGACCTTGCCGTGGTGTGTGTGTGCATGCCCATCACCCTGGGAAACCAGATCTACACTGCCTGGGTCTACGGTGATCTCCTGTGTCGAGCCGTGCCCTTCACGCAGGCTGTTTCGGTCTCAGCCAGTGTGCTAACACTGACGGTGATCAGTGTGAATCGTTACTACAGTGTTCGTTCACCACTGCGAGCCCGCTCCATGTTTACCCGACGTCGAATCTTGGCGACCGTCGCAGTGGTGTGGACAGTTTCTTCGATTATGTGTGCTCCTATTGCAGTGATGAACAGGCGACGAGAGATCAGCTTTGGGACATTTGCCATCTTGGTCTGTCAGGAGGAGTGGCCTCAGCATCGCCTTAAACAAGGGTAGGTACTCCGACAGATTACCATGGTTGTATTATCTAGTCTGTGATCTAATCTATGCAGATTCTCCACTCTCCAACTAATTTTCAGATCTGTCATAAATCACGATGCAGCCTGAGGCCAGACATTGATTGGACCAAGGTTTATGTTTCATGGCCATCAATCACCAGCGGTTTTTGTGGTGTCCGGCTGTGTTGGCAGTAATTGGCTCTTAATGGCCAATTGAGCATGTGGAATCAGAGGACTGTCAAAGAAAAGAGACATCTTTGATTGACTGTTCAGCCCAGCAAATCAGTGATTTCACAGCTTTAAAGTGCTTTCTCCTCCCTCATTTTCCCTCATTAGAAGAAAGACCACGGACAGACAAAAGTTATAGTTGCAACTTTTTGTCAGAACTGATGCAATTGGTGTTTATAATAAGACATATTAACTACTTTTAAATTGGGTTTTTTTTATATCATGAACAGGTGCATAACTCGGCTGTGTGGTTGTTGTCTGTAGTCTTTGCAGTGTGTAAAAGACAAACTTGCGGCAATGTCAGGGAATGTGAGGAGACGCACAACATGTGATCGTTTGGCGTTTGGATGTGCTAGTTCTTAAAGTTTGATTTGGTGTCTCAAGGGGCTTTAGATTCTCATACAGGGACCCACTTTCTGTTAAGACCTGCAAGGCTTTTAAATGTTGTACTTGAGTTGCACTATTTTGTACTTACTGTAAAACACAGGTTCAGTGACTTGAGAGACTTCGTCTTTTAGAATTTCTGTCTTATTTTCCTTAATCATGAGCTGTGAAATGGCTTAGAATGACCTCTATTGTGCACACTCTGTACTTTTATCTTTTTGACTGATGTGCCATTATTGCTTTATTGTTTGTTCAATCACTTTACGAATAGTGTTGATTATCCAGAGATACTCTCAAATCTAATTTTCTCAAGAGTTCTAATAGAGTGCTGCTGGTTATATAATGTTTCCACATTGATTCTTGTGTCTCGTTGATGGAAAAGGGAGCACATTAAAAAGTACTGAAAGGAATCCACTGTGGTCCTGCTAACTATACTTACTATTGTTGTAATAATAACACCCTTGACACAATTTCTACATAGTGTGAAAAGTATGGAGAGTGTCTCCAATAACGTAAAATATCCCTTTTAGTTGGTTTTACCACATTTACAAATGGACATAATAAATATATTTTAAGTAAAAGCATTACAGATTTCAGCCTTTAGTAATGAATGTAGTTTCAAAAACAAAATGTAATCAGTATCTCATTTTTAATTCTTCCACAGATACAATGTGCTGCTGTTTGTGATGCTGTACTGCCTCCCCGTGACCTTTAACCTCACCATAGGCTTCCTAACTGGAAGGCGGCTTTGGGGAGGGAGGAAAACCACTTTCGCTGATCTTGATCCACGCAGCCAAGCTCTGCATGTCTCGCGCCTCAAGACACGCCAGAAGATCGCCAAGATGGTTGTGTGTCTGGTGCTGCTGTTTGCAGTGTCCTGGCTACCACTGTACTTGGCTGACCTTTGGATCGACTGTGAGGAAAGGCCACCATCTTGGCTCCTGCAGACGCGACCATTTGCCCAGTGGCTGGGCCTGACAAACTCCAGCCTTAACCCCATCTGTTACTGTTTCATAGGCGATCTGTACCGATCAGCAAAGGTTATACGGACGCGATACTACCAGAAAGTCGCCGCTCTCTTTGGCTCCTCCTCATTCTCCAGCTCAGCTGCAGTGGCGTCTCCTGTGTCAGTGATTACAGACACCAAAGTGACTTCTGTTGAGCGCCACCATATTGCCGCTGCTGCTGTGGCAGCATCTGCATCCATTGTTACAATCCCAAGGCTGTTGAGCTTGGCTAGAGGCAAAGGACTGGGGCAGAAGGTCAGAGACAGTTCAGACAGCCGAGCAGGATCCGACCACAGTATCTCAGACTGGTGTCGGTCCAGTCCCAGTGTGTGTGACAGCTCCTTGTTCCCCTGCCAGCTCCACACACTCCAGCACTCCATACAAAGAGTGGACTTCCTTCCCACAAGAAGACACTCTCTGAATGAGAACGCTGGACCATTACCTTTAAGAATTGAGTCTGTGGAAATAGGCGTGCTGCCGTTGAGGAGGCATTCAGGGGACAGAATATATGGTCTGTCAGCTGATAAGAGAGACATCATTACGATGGGCAGAGACGCTCTCTGTTACACTGGACAGCACAGAAGAAAAAGATCACAAACCAACTCTCTGGTAGGAGACAGGGAGGATGAAAGAACTGATATGACCAGCCTCTGAGACCTGCAGATTATTTGATGTATCAGCAGGGAGGAATTCTTTCTTTTTTTGTCACCTAAAGCTTCTGAGTCGCAGTTTGCAGTTGACAGTGTGAGTTAATCCCTTGCAAAAGCCATTGTTTGTCTTGAGGCTAAACTGACCTGGTCTACACTTTCCATCTTTCTCTGTGTAGTATTCTCTGTGTGTCATCGAAAGCATGGGATCCAGGACTGATGTTTACAACGACAAGATCAGGACTTTGAAGGCAAGCGGAGGGGGCAATGATGGAGAACCCTGCAGGGATAGAGTGGAGTGTTATTTAGCCCTGGGCTTGAAAGCCAGTTATCATAAAAAAGGGTGGATTGCAGCAGTGCGGAATCACATGTTAGTCATATCATAAGTGATTCAGCTGCCAGTCATGGTTGTGTCTAACATCTGCTTAAGACAGTAAACCAGTAGGATGTAACTGTGTGAGAAATTGTTTGGTTCAGATTCTTCTCTTTCTTTCATATTGCTTTGCTAATGGCTTCGATTGTATTTGACAGAAAAGGCCAAACCCTTTGTTAGAGTGCCAAGTAGGAATAATACACAGATACAGTATGTATGGAGGGTTTCTGACAGGTCTTTACAGGATATTGTCACCATCAATGTCTGCAGTCTGTGAAAGATAAGTACAGTAGCAGCCGCCGTTCATGTGTGCAGTGATACAGGTAATATACAGCGGATATGAGATATGTTGTATATGAAGCAGAAAATGAAAAATACGGTGAATGATTTTGTTTTGCACATAGTAACGCTGATAGTGATATTAAGCATGAAATAACTTTTCAGGTTCATCTGATTTTTGAAAGCTAGACCAGGTCGTCTAAAATGAGCCCAAAACAAGCAGGGTTACTTCATTCAGAGGAAATTTAAAGGGTCAGTTTACCCAAATCAAACATTACAAAAAAAACATTATATTTTTCTTGCTCTGGTGTTGAGATGACTGTCTAACCATCTGTTTGGCACACATATCTCAAAAACAAGACAAATGAAACCAAAACTGCATGTCTAGATACTGCTAACGATCAGAGAAAATCTTAATGATTTGCGGTGAGCTGACCTTAAAAAGACCTAATATTACATTGACTGCACTGTGGATAGGTACAGAAAAATACAAGATAATCTGTTTTAATATTTGACAACAGGAGAGTTTTGGCCCAACCAGAGACACTGCCTGTTAAACCAGCACATGCCTTGTTGAGTAAAGGACTGAAACAAGGTGCAGAAATAGCTTTAAAGGTTAAAGAAATAAAAACACAGACACGCACTCTCACACATACACAGATTCATGCACACAGACAACAGAATCTAATCTACCCTCAGGCTGCTTCCAGTTGTGTGTAAGACAGAGGTGGTGAATAGCATGAACTGCTGTGACATTAAGCTGCTAATCACACTTGTCCTTGCAGCAAAAGTGAAGCGGTGCAACACTCAAGGCATCAAACTGTGTTGAAACTGTCCTATTTATGTCATTGGGTAAGGTTGCTTTGTACCTTAGAAAATCTTTATGCCATTATGCTGTAACTGTGTCTGTCATCTCTCCTTCTCTCTTTACTTTCATCTACCTCTCTCTTTCTCAGTTTTGCACTGTGTTAATGGAGGGTATGTGTAATGCGCATTTGGTGTTTCATTAAAAAAGCAAGCAGAGTTTGTCCGTGGTCACATGTAACTGTGTCTGCGACTGAAATGTCCCAGGATTTGCACACTTTTTAAAACTCCCTGCACAAAGCTGTTCTTAGAAAAACTTCAGTTTGAGGATTTTACAAGTTTTCTTTGGCTAATAGGGACATAATAAATGGTGGGAGGCCTGGAATATACAGATAAAAGGTTTGCGGATCCTTTGTCCAATCCTCTCTTGTTCCCTCAGGCTTGATTAAATCTTAATGGGATCTGAATTTAGTTATGAGTAACCCTTATTCGTTTATCAAATGAGTTGCAAAGAAGTTGAAGGAGGGAGCGACTCAAAGACAGTCTCATCAAACTTGGACGTCGCTCCACCACGAATATGATTAGTGATTGTAGAAGAAGTTGGCCATGGTAATTTTACTTCATCATGTAGACACGTTAGCTAGCATATTAAAGACTTTGGTGAAAGTTTAAGTTAGGGCTGCTTCCAAAAATGCCTGCCTCAGAATTATTTCCTGGGTGTGTACGTGTGTGTATATATGTATGTAAAAGACTGTATATATTGCTTTTTTTAATGCTATTCTATGAATTTAATTATCTTTTTCTATGTGTGTAGCATGAAGTACCTGCAAATTTCATTATACAACCATGTGTTGTATAGTGATAATACATTTCCTTGATTGATTGTTTGAAATCTGATGGTTTGAATCATCAGTCACACCAAAAAATGTCATTATCAACAGACAGGTGAAAAAGTAAAGGAAAAGCCTGAATAAATGAGTTGAATAACGAATGCTGATGCTTCCATACAGCTGTGCTGTGTGAGGCACTTATCCTCTGGACATGTATAAAGTATATGTGTATTCAATTTGAGTTAAATTTGATTTTAGATCAAGATGGCAGGAGGAAAAATATCTAAGTTATTTAGAAAGGGGATTTCTAATTAGGGCACAGATGGCAGGAGCTTCAGTCACAAATAAAAAAGTCATGCCATCAGCAGAGTCATCTTTCACCATAATCTTGACAAGTGGGTGAGTACATGTGTGGCCAACAAGTCCTCCAGATTAAATGACAAAACACAATCGCATCAGAACTCCGGAACGAAACATAAAAGGTTTTTTAATTGGATGCCCCTCTCTGCAGAATGACATAATTTGTCTGTGGCTTTCAGACCTGTTACAAATCACTTGTGTAAAAATAATTGTGACACAGCTTTGGTTAGTTTATGGCTACTCAGCCAATCACTAATGAGGTTTTATTTTTTTTATTAGTTTTAGGGCGCTGTCGTCTGCATCATTTTTACATCCATTTACTTGCATTATTTAATGGCAGGATCAGGATTAACTATAAATTATTGCTATGACAGCACCATTTAGGGAAGAGGTTACAAAATAGATTAATTTCATTCTGCTTCATTTTATTAAATATTGAAGTGTCTAAAAAGTAAAAAAAAAAAAAAACATGCTCAAATATTTAATAATAATCTATTACGGTTTCCGACTCCGTCGCAACTTATTTGTCATCATGGTTATAATAACAACATGGTTTTTGGCCAGGGAATTGTCATGGTGAAAAGAAACCAATGCCAACTGTTGACTAATAGGAAAAAAGGAAGCGAGCAGTTAACTCCCATCAAGTCAGTCTGACTTTGGGCTCATTCAAGATGAACTGCGCGTCGCTGGGAAAGTGGATGAGGTCAGACAGCAGCCAGGTTTTTTTCATCATGCCTTGGGTCTTGCACCCGTGGCACCTGGCTGTAAGAAGCGGTAGCCTCGATCTTGTGAGGTTGTTTTTGCCCACCTGTGCACGACGTCAGCATGCATTGTGCAGCGATTGCCAGTGATTGATTCTGCTCAGGTGTGGCTCATAACCCTAACCCTTTTTTGTTGACCCACCGAACCACTGCAACCTCCTTCCCCTGTGGACTTTGCTTCATATGAAACATATGCGATGGCCTTCACATTCATCAGATCTCGACCTAGTTGAACAACTGGTTAGACAGTACTCACCACCACCACCATCGTCAAAACACCAAATGAGAGATTCTCTTTTGAAAGAATGGTGTTCATCCGTTCAGGATGTGCAGAAATACACACACACACACACACAATTTCAGATATCCCCAGGACTCATGATGAGGCACTTCAACTCATGATTGCTTTCATTTCTTCAGATATCCAGCCATTGTGACTCTCGCAGATCTTTTCATCACATTCTCTCATCACACTGTATTTTTGTCCTCTCTCTCCCTTTTCCTTCTCTACTTCTTTCCCCACCTATCTGTCTCTCCTTCTTTTATTGTTTCTCTCCCTTTTGGTCATCTACTTTCTCCTTGCGTCATTGCTGTACCAGTGTCAGAAACCTGTGCTAACAATAGCCTGCTTTTCTTTCTCTTCCTCTTCCTTCATTACCATCTTCATATTTCCTTTTTTGTCAACAAGACAAGGACCATTTAACACTAGAGATCATATCCGGAGGGGCACACTGCACACTCAAGGCACAGAAACAGTGAACTAAAATGCTGTGAAGTAATATACATAATGATGAGGCTTCTGTTGCAAAGCCAAAAACACCACTTATATTTTATTGAAGAAGTTGATTACAGGCGGGAAATTTTTATACAGAAACTATGTTCTGCTGTTGACATGATATCAAATTGCTTTTACTTAAAAATAAACATTGATAGCAGACTGTGAAAATGTCTCACCAGTGTTCATGTTTTGTTTTTTACTGGTATGTTGCCTTAAGAGAAGACAATTTCTGCATGTTTTTTAATGCTACACCAGTCTGCTCCTGCTCATTTTTGCACTGAAAATACTGGTACAAGAAGAATTGACTGCACACTTATGTAACCTATTTTTAAAAAGACTGGACCTACCGTACCTACCAGCCCTGATAATATTCTACAGAATGAAACACTGACGTAAATGCTGATTCAGTGTCAAAAATACATTAGCTTTATTTTAGAAACTGTTGCATTTTGTAGTAAATATTTCAGTTTGGCAGCTTGGGGTGAGTGTAGGAAGAGATAGGTCTTTCTAACAGCAGAATTGTTGCACAAAGCACAGGTGGCACGGTGTCTCTGTTCTATTTAAGTGTCCCATGACAGTGTGACAGTGAGTCAGCATGCACAATACCAGGACTCTGAAACTGGACTTGTTATTAGCCACTGATGCACTACATCTGAGATGATACTGAAAGGGTGAATAGTTTTTTTGGACTGTGTAGCAATTTGGACGTTTGCCAGGCTCTCAGGTCGCAGCCATGACAGGTAGGAGGTAGGTCACAAAATAATACAAATTTCCCATAGTAACTAAAAATGTTCCCTTGTGGCAATATGGTATGCCACAGTGTGCAAACAATAGACTGCCCTGCCTGCATTATGACTATAAATCACAATTACACTGCTCATGCACCTGCAGTCCTGGAGGAAATCTGCACCATTACAGTGTCTGATAGCAGGACCTGCAGGTGGGCTACCCCCACGCAGACCAATTTAAACATTTTCACTGTACAGATTTTACTGTAGTTCACCCAAATCTAAACATTTTCCCTCTACTGTTTTTACCCCTCTATTCATACTTTGCACGTGACGTCACAACTACTAGATGGCGGGCAAGAACATCGTTCTCCAGCAACGAAACCTAGTAAACTAATCAAGGATCTTGCCTGGACGTCGCCAGTTTTACTATACAAAAGTATATATATATAATATGTAAGTGATTTGATATGATATGATGAGAAGAAGAATACATGTTACAGTACACAGGTTACTGTTGTACTGCGTCTGCTAACTTAGCTATCCGTACTTTTGTAGGCTTTCATTTTTTGTGCGGTGTAAAGTGACGGATTTATGTAAATATATATGTTTCTTGCCCGCCAGGTAACCATGGTAATCACGTGACTGCAAAGTATGAATTAATATGAGTGGAGAGAGATGGGGAATGAAATGCAACAAACGTCCCTGGCCAGATTCAAACTTGGGACATCGCCCTTCATGGTCAGGGCGACCCTCTCTACTAACTGGGGATGTTTCAAAAGAAATTATAGTTTTTACTTGTAGTTTCTAGTTTCTACCATTATGTAGTGTTTCTCCCCTTCAATAACAGCTTCAAAATCATTTTGATACTACACTGAGTTGTAGTAGGGCGTCTGTCTGCCTGTCCTGTATGTAACTTTAGACTTTGGGTCACACACCACCAACTATACCGCCGATTTTGGTGAGACTGGATGGTATTTTATAGAGAAGATGTTTCCCTCTGGTGTCTCTGGCTGCTCTTCCTTAACTTCCTCCGAGTTCTAATTTTCCTGATGTACAGAAAGCTTTACTTGTTGCTAAGCTAAATAGCTCAGGACTGGGGAGCTCAAAGCAACGGGGGAGTGTTGGTATATTTACACCACTACCAAAGGAGCTTTGGAAGGCAGGGAGGAGAAGGTTTTCTGCCCGGGGCGAGGGGGAGCCAGTGGGGAATACTGACAGGGAGCGATGACGAAGAGACATAAGAGGACGTTGATGGAGGAAGCTAAGAAGAGAAAAGGAGAGAGAAGCCGTCGGATAAGAGCAAATCTCAGACTGACTTTTAGTCGTTGGCGAGAGCTTCGTGAAATAAAAGGCTGCAGACAGACGGCAAGCTGGCCTTCTTGCTGTTGGACTAGTTAGTGATATTAGCTGGATGGCTATGTCTTGCATTGTTGCACTTGCTTGATGTTTGGTTGCTGTAAGTAATGTAATCAGAACAAATGCTTGTGTACAGCTGTCCATATTTATGACAGTGGTATTTCACTCACGGCGGCTCCAAGTCGCAACAAATGCCAAATATTACATGCTTTCATTATCAGTTAACCTTTTTTTATTTTTTTTTATTTTCTTGCTTATTGTTTGTTCTATAAAACGTCAGAAAATAGTGAAATATCACAGTTCCTTGGAGCCCAAGTTGACATACATTTTTTATTCTGACGAACAGTTAATACCTAAGGATAGTTGCTGATTCATTTTCTATCAGTTGACTAATTATTCAGTTGTTTAATTGTTTCAGCTCCATACTTAAGTGTTAAAATATTGGGGTGGTATATGAAA